CAAATGTTTAAACCAATTTTGATTTTATTTGAGGAGTTGACATATCCAAGAATTAAATAATTTAATTTAATCAATTTTTCATCATTTATCAACCTATGCAATTACCTATTCATAAACTCAATTACTTATATAATATACTAAATAATAAATAGTCTATAAATATAATAATGTGTCTTATAAAGAGATTATTTTAAATAATAATTTGAATTGATTCTAATAAATCAATATGGTCTTTATTTTCTAAGTTCATCAAGCAAAGCACGACCTTTAGCTTTTTCTAAGTCTATTTTTTTATCATATTCTTCTTTTTGTCTTCGAAGAGCTTCTTCTTCTTATTATTTTTTATCTCTTAACAATTATTACCTTTGTTTTTTTTCATCCATTTAATTAATTAAATTATGCTTTGTATACATAATTTTCTAAATTATTAATTATAAAACTTACCTCCTACTCCAATCTTTGTTTCTCTTCTAATTCTTTCTAATATAATTCCATTTATTTTTAAAGTTCAATTTTATCTTATTATTTTACATTCTTTTCATCTTCTATTATTTTTTTTTTTATTTCAACATTTTCTGCTCTTTAAGCATAAACTTCATACATTAATTTGACTCTAGCATCCTTAAAATAATACTAAATATATTACATCTTCAGCCTTCCATTTTGCTTCTTTAGTTCCCCATTATCTAGCATTTTCTTCATTAATTAACCTTTCCTTTAATTAATCATTCATACTATATTCATTTGTTCTATTCTTAAAATTTAATAAGAATTATCTTGTTTCTTCTTTCTATCTTTATTTTTCTGCTTGTTCCATTTTAGTTATAGCTTCTTCTCTTGCAAGTACTTACTAAATCATTTCTTTATCCTCAATTTTCTCTTAATGTTTAATTTATTTTTTAAATTCTTTTTGTTATTCATTATTTACTGCTATTTCTTAATTAATTTCTTTCTTATAATTCATATATTAATTTTCTCTTTATTTATGTCTTTCTTCTTCTCTTTTCCATTCTTCTTTCTATAATGGTCAAACAAATAATTATACTAGCATTTGTTTCTCCCATTAAATTTCTTCTTTTGTCTTTTATTGTTTAGTTTCATTCATTTTTGTTTACAAAGCCAATACTTTATTTCGTTCATCTACTTTAACCTTTTGTTCTAATTCTTTTTCTCTTTCTAATCTCTCTTTTTTTAATATTTCTCTTCTATATAATTCTGCATATATCATATCCTCTAAGTATTATTATCATTTAACTTTTTACCCTCATATTAATCTTCTAACATTTTTTACTTCTCCATCATTTACATATTTCTATAAGCAACAGTTTAAAGTTCATTAAATTACTAATTGACCATCCTAAGTTCATCAGCATTTTCTCTAAATCTACGATTATATGCTGCCTCTGCTTATTTACCTCTCTCCGCTTCCTTTCTTTATTTTAATTCTGCAACTTCTTTCATCATTCTCTCCTTAACCTATTCTGGAGTTTCAACCATTGCTTTTATTTCTTATTGATATTGCTCATGTTCAGCATTCAATAATAATGCTAGTCTTTCTCTTCTTTGATTCTTATTAGCTTCAGCTTCTGAACGAATTTATTGAAGCCTAAAATATGCTATTTTAATACCTATTCTTTGTATATTACAAATTGGCAACATCTTTTCCTTTATTTTCCCAAGCTGCAAAGGTCTTCTCGTAATGCTCTTATCTAAGCTTTGTATTCAATTTGCCAACCTACTATTCTTATTATCTTCTTTAGTAGATTAATTGTTCTGAACGGTTACGAGTAGAACTTTACATCATATTAAAATTAATAATATTCATTACGATAAGAATTCTTCTCTCTATTTAAGTAACTCATCTAATAATGGTCTAACTTATTTATTCTTTATTCTAGTCTCACTTGTATAAATTCATCCAATTTAACTTTATACTACTTTTCATTATCAAATGCAAAGAATAACATTTCTAATTTATCTAATTCTCTCACAAATTCAACTTCCATACTCTCTCCATTAACGTATTCTTTATGAATACTATATAATTCTTATTTTAGATATTCATCTAAATCTTTGATCATCATTTTGATTACATTATCCTCTTTCTATTTCTTCAATTGTGCTGGTATATTCTCAATAGAAATTATGTCTCCTAACATCATTTCTGCCAAATCATGTAATAAAGCAATTTTTATACATTTATCTAAATTTAATTCATTTTTTGGTAAAAATAAAGCTATAATTTAAATCATGCAGCTATGGTCAGCAACTGATTCAACTTCTTTTTTAATAGAAATCTTATCCAACCTTTCTCTTGACAAACTTGAATTACTAAGAAATATTAAAGAATTTCACATATTTTTACATTTTTAATTATTAAAAATAATAATATAAACAATTTAAATTAATGAATAAAGACTTGGATCAGAAAACAATAGTATGAAAAACTTATCATAATAATAGGATTAAATAGTTGATAAGAAATTAGCTTTAATGGAAGCTGAATATGAGATGTTCAAAAAATATGACAATCCAAATTATAAAGGTGCTGATTATCCTGTTGATTAAATTAATAATTTAAATACAGAAAATCAATAATAAAAAGAGAATGACGATGAAAAAGAAAAAGAAGAAAATCAAGATTTGGAAGAAGAAGATGAATTCTAAGAATTTTAAGGATACGAAAAAATGGAAGAGAATTCTGATAAAGAAGAAGCAGAAGATGAAATAAATTATGATCAAGTAGAACATGCTGATCCTTTTGCTAAACCCTTAGATGTAGATTTAATTAAGAAATGTATGGCAGAAATCTCATTGCCTACTCCAGCTTGGGCTTAAAGTTTTTAAGGTTGGGAATAAAAATTGAGTTAAATGAAATAGTTATGATAAGTTTTTAGAAAACATCAAAAATCAGTAACCAATAGTTGCTAATGTCACTAACAACGTAGCACATGTTTCAGCTTTATTTTCATCCAAATCAATATTATCCATAATAGCCCGTTTTATATCTTATATTCCCAAATCTTTTTAATGAGTACATAATTTGGCTAATTTATATAATTATTCAAAGTGATATCCTAATTTTATAATGAGTTTATCTTTCAAGATTTTTAAACCACTCTAGTTTATTAACCAAGGTTCTGATAATGATTTTTTTTTGTATTTACATTTTGTATTGATATTTAAATACTATACATCCAAGTATTAATTTAGGTTTTAAGAGATAAGGTATCTGAGTTTTCTCCAAAATCTTCACTTGAATCTTCTAAATAAATCTTGGAGTCTTCTGAATCATTTTAATCTTGATATGGAAGCTTTTCAACATTTTTAGATTATTCTTACTAAGAAATTGATAATTAGAATTTTTACAAGCACAATTTTAAATTCATTTATCATCTCTTACATATCATTTTCACTGTTTCTTTTTTGTATTATTTAAGGTTTTTTTATAAAGGGGATTCTTATATATTATTTTATAATTTTTTTTAATTTTTTTTCTTCATCTCTTTATGAATTGGATGGCTTATTTTATTTTATAGGTTTTTTTTAAGTAACGTCAAATACTTAAAATTATAGTTATGGTTGGAAATCAAATGCAGCAGTTTCAACTTTTTGTTAAATTTATTATTATTCTTTAAATTTTATAAATCTTTCAGAGCAGTTTTTTTATCTAAAAATTTTTATTCTGCAGTTTCCACAATTTCGCCTAATTATTATTATTGACCTTATTATGTTACTAATTATAAATAAGTTTTTTTATTTCTTAAGATGCTTTTCTTTCTCTTAATTTTTTAAAGAATTATTCCTACAATTTTGTTTAATCATGAACTTAATAAACTGGTTCTTTAGTTACTTCTTCTGATTTTTATCCTTATTTTTTTTTTGATTCTAGTCTAATTAGATAAACCTTGTATATTTTTATTAGTTTTTGATGAATATTTTAGGAAAACTTAGGACTCCTTAATTCATTATTTTTGTACCTTCTTCAATAATTTAATCTAAACCTTAATTATTCATTACTAAATATAACTCTCCTTTTACAGTTTTATACATTTCTTTAAAGTTTATATTATTTGAATACTTTAATTAAGCCATTATTCTAAACTCTTAACAAGTTTCCTAAATTTTCTTTCAATTCTAAATACTATTTTCTCTTACTCATACACAAAGAGAATTGCCTTTTAAATATTCAAATAGATTTGCTTTTCCAAAGATCTTTAACCCAAAATCTTAATTCTTTTATACATATCTGATTCTTTAGGTCTCATTTTATAAAATTAACTTTATATATAAATTTTTAATAAGTTAAACCATAATATNTATCTGAGTTTTCTCCAAAATCTTCACTTGAATCTTCTAAATAAATCTTGGAGTCTTCTGAATCATTTTAATCTTGATATGGAAGCTTTTCAACATTTTTAGATTATTCTTACTAAGAAATTGATAATTAGAATTTTTACAAGCACAATTTTAAATTCATTTATCATCTCTTACATATCATTTTCACTGTTTCTTTTTTGTATTATTTAAGGTTTTTTTATAAAGGGGATTCTTATATATTATTTTATAATTTTTTTTAATTTTTTTTCTTCATCTCTTTATGAATTGGATGGCTTATTTTATTTTATAGGTTTTTTTTAAGTAACGTCAAATACTTAAAATTATAGTTATGGTTGGAAATCAAATGCAGCAGTTTCAACTTTTTGTTAAATTTATTATTATTCTTTAAATTTTATAAATCTTTCAGAGCAGTTTTTTTATCTAAAAATTTTTATTCTGCAGTTTCCACAATTTCGCCTAATTATTATTATTGACCTTATTATGTTACTAATTATAAATAAGTTTTTTTATTTCTTAAGATGCTTTTCTTTCTCTTAATTTTTTAAAGAATTATTCCTACAATTTTGTTTAATCATGAACTTAATAAACTGGTTCTTTAGTTACTTCTTCTGATTTTTATCCTTATTTTTTTTTTGATTCTAGTCTAATTAGATAAACCTTGTATATTTTTATTAGTTTTTGATGAATATTTTAGGAAAACTTAGGACTCCTTAATTCATTATTTTTGTACCTTCTTCAATAATTTAATCTAAACCTTAATTATTCATTACTAAATATAACTCTCCTTTTACAGTTTTATACATTTCTTTAAAGTTTATATTATTTGAATACTTTAATTAAGCCATTATTCTAAACTCTTAACAAGTTTCCTAAATTTTCTTTCAATTCTAAATACTATTTTCTCTTACTCATACACAAAGAGAATTGCCTTTTAAATATTCAAATAGATTTGCTTTTCCAAAGATCTTTAACCCAAAATCTTAATTCTTTTATACATATCTGATTCTTTAGGTCTCATTTTATAAAATTAACTTTATATATAAATTTTTAATAAGTTAAACCATAATATAATGAATAGTATTTTATTTTTTCTTAGTAATTCTATTGAATCAAATATAAATTAGATTGTTGACTTATTTAAAAATAAAATAAATTCTCCATTCATTATTTTTAAAATAAACTTATCTTTTTAGACTTATTAACTACTATTAAAATTATTTATTATTTAGATAGCATGTATTGATTTAAAATAGAAGATTTTTATTTTAAATTCATTATTTTTATTATTATGAGTTCTGTGATCATGGATAATAATTCATTTTTGCTCTACAAACCTCAAGAATTATTTGAATTGAAAGAAAATTAGGCAAATGAAGAGGAATTATTTGACAAAATTATTTTTGCCATTGCTTTAGGTGGAGATTAAAGTAAAATAAATTAAGAGTTTCTTAAATGTTGGATCAAATATACTTAAGAATAATAGAAAACAATAGTATAATAATAGAAAACAATAGAATAATTATAGATAACAATAGAATAATTATAGAAAACAGTAGAATAAAAATAATCAAAAACAATACAATAATAACCAAAAACAATTCAATAATAAAAAATGTTAGAAGAAGAAAATGAAAGATTGAAGGAATGTATAATGAAATGTAACATGTAAAAGAGATAAGAAATGGTTGGCAATCAAACGACTAAAGATTTACTTAAAGGAAGTGATCTTTCAAAATTTTCTACGTAAAACTTCTAATAAATTACAATGATACAATAAATTGAAAATCTGAAGAAATTGCTTGAAGATAAAATCTAGAAAATAAATGAATTAGAAACATCTAATCTTGCACTTGCACATTTAGAAGTTTAGACTTGTATAACTAAAATACAAGCATTTACAAAATCTTTAGATTAGTATTCAATTGACTTGTTCTAAAGGAAAATTATTACTAGCTCAGGTTTTGATCCAGATTTAAGTAGAAATTCATAAACCTGGGATAATTTAACTTAGAGGTAATAAATTAATTAAGAGTAATTACAATCACCTTTAGATCCAGATAAGTTACAAGAAAGTATTGTTTTGGATAGTTAATCGTGAATAAAATATAAATAAAATGCATAAAAAATATTATTTAATGAACATTAAAATTATTTCACAGACCCCCTTTATTTTGAATGGCTCCATGCAATTCACAAAGATAATCAGCATATGATTTTTCAAGTTATTACTCATCTTCTACTAATTTAGATTGTACCAAGGTAGCTTATGGAGAACTACAGATTTAATAACTATTAAATACTTTTATCGAATCACTCTAACTGGAACATAAGTTCCACCTCTGATTTATTATAATGATTCAATTATATTTTATACTTTGCTGCTATAATCAGTATTTATTTTGGTAAATTATTCAATTGAGTTTAATTCCGCAAAAGAATTAACTCCAAAAAGCTACCAATTTAATTATTAAATTACATTCTATAATAGCGATTAATCGACATTCTGTCCTACATATATATAGATAAATTGGCTTGTATCTAGGATATATATACCATCTGATTTAATTTTATCTATTGTGGTGGCTATATTGTGAGGTAAAACAATCTTTTCTTCATCAGTGATACTACCCACTTAATATTTATCTGATACAAGCTAAGAATTAATATCATGAATAGAAAATAGTTTTGGATAAAAGAAATTATTAAGAAAATGCATAGATTGAGTCAAAACTAAATGAATTTCAAAAATTCGATTATCTATTCTAACATTTCCTTATTTAAGTAAATCACGTTTATATAATGATTATAGATAAAGTGGTAAGATTTTGATAGGTTCTGGTAAAATCAGTTATCCAGCTGGACTATTACTGGAGCACTACATTAAATATAGATGTTACATATTTTCGATAAGCATGCAAAATACTCACAAGAGATTCAAATAGATTTTATCTAATTTATTTAATCTATTGAACCATAATGTTAGGTAGATATTTTCTACATAATAATGTAGCAAGACAATCCACATCTCCTGTTTTAAAAATATTATGCCATGCATTATTTCCACTGTTTTTATTTACAACTTATAATTGTAAATTAAAAACTCTTATAACTCTTTATCCTTATTAATTAGTATATAATAAAGCATATTAAATATGTGCTTCAGGATCTAGTATTTTTTCTTCTTGTTTCAGCATAATAGCAATTGATTAATCTGAATTTAAAGAAGATAATTCTAAATCTCTGACTGATATTTTTCCACTTCCTGTATAATAATCAAATAATATAATTCCTGGAGAGGTTCTTACAGTCATAATAAGATCATAAGCATAAGCTCTAGTAAGATTTCTATACAATGAATAATGGAGTTCAGTTCCATTAATTTATTAATTATAATGTGGATAAAAATAAATACTACCTCCAGTAATATTAGAAACAGGAGAAACAGTAGCTAATTCAAAATTTTCATCATTAGCAATAAATAAATCAACTGATATGTGATTTCTGAGACATGTTTGTCCTAATTTCACATATGCTTGATCTGTAGGTTAATAAAAAAGCTTTTCTTAATCTGTACCAAATAATTTAGTATCAGTTGGTTTTTATGGTATTTTTCCTATTCCATATCTAGGAGCTGAACATCCAAAATACAAAATACGTCCACTTCTTGGTTACATTAATTGAACTGCATTTGATAATACTGTTCCAACTGAAACAAGTTAATTTGTTTATTGAGTAATAGTTTCTCCAAACTTACCTAATTTCTCTAACATATAATCAATTTTATCCCTATCATTTTCAATATTTAAAAATAATTTTTCTGGTGGAAGTGGTACATTTGCTTCATCTATTTCACTTACTACGATTATTTAAGGTTCTCCTGTTAAATTTTTAGGTAAATTATAAAATAAAATTTTAGAATCGAATGTAATAAATGCAATATCAGTTTTATTTGGATATGGAATTGTATCCAATATTGATTAAAGTGAAGAAATCACTTAACTATATATACCTTTTGCGACTGATATTTAAGTCAACTCTATACAAAATAATATCAAAGTATTTTTGATTTCTTTTTTTATATAACTATTTGGAGCTATGATTTCATAACAACCTTTATTTAATTCATCTCTCTAATATTTATCACCTCTTTAATTTCCTTAACCCAAAACACAATAATAATCAGGTGGTACTTAATTCTTCATTTTACAAATGTTGCAAATATAAGTATTCCCTCCTTCACCAAATTAAAAGAAAGGACTAACATAAGCCTTACATCTCTAACAACGCAATGGTTCATTTGTAAATTCTACTTAAGGTATTTCTGATTCAAAAACAGATGGTTCCATTAATGGTTGTACAACTATACCAAAGGGAATCTCTGTTTATTATAAAATAGATGGTTCATTTCCTATTGCATACACTGAACTTCTCATATATCTTGGTCCACAATTTCCTTCATCAAATGTCTAATAAAATTAATGCACTTATGGAGGATGATATAAAGGTGCTGGAGCTGTAGAGAACCTCTTATAAATATTAATAATTACTATTAGCACATTATAGATTCTTCTGACTTTATGTATGGTCTTGGAATTTGATCAACATCAATTTTTGATGATTTTCGCTGCTACTCTACTTATTATGGGTTAAAATTTTATTATGGTTGATATTGTTATTATTTTGGATATTACTATTGGCCTACATATTATTATTATGCATTGTATTATTATTAATGATTTTCATTTTATGGTTATTAGTATGCATTTACTTATCTTTGTTGAACAGGAGCTTATTACACAGGTTGCTCAGGTTCTCGAGTGATTGGCTATTACTGTTGAGTTCTTCTCAAATGAGGTGGCAATCTACGTTCTTCCATTATTGAACACGTAAAATTATTAATTAAATTTAATTATTTCATAAGTTATTTATAAGCTCATTCTTTAAATTCTTTTGATAATCAGTTTGAAACTTTAGCAGAGTTAGTTGCTATTTTAGATA